AAAATAACCATTTACTCCAATATCAAAACAGCTACGGTAAAATAAAAAGACGTGCATCATCCCGGACATAATGCAACACCACATGCGAAATTACACAGATATGCGACGTACGGCAGAATGCGTTTTGGCTGCGAACATCTTCCAAAAAACTTGGCATCTCTTAACCATGGGCAAAAACATCTGGAACCACTTATAAAAACCACCCCGTATCTGCATGAACTTTTACCTCTCCCCCCCGCTATTCCAAACAACGCGTTTTTCTGGACCGTTCCAATTCGCCTCGTAATTGTAGGGGTGCGTCTGCGATATTACATTGACCGCGAAAGCAGCAACGGCAAAAATACACATTCGTGCATCAACACGGGCATGCCCGCAGACGGCGTATAAAATTGCGTGCCGATTACACGAAGAGAACCCAGTGTTTTGACTGCGAACATGAAAAATCAGCCGATTACAACACTCCGTCCGGAGGTCCTGACCTCCTTCACGGAGTAATAAACAGGAAAGATTTACAGTAATATCTCACTTCAACTATTCATACTAATTTGAACTACTTTTTACAGGTCCGACTTCTCCTCGCTTCTTGGAGCAGTTGTAGATGTATGAACATGTGGAGTTAGTGCCCTAGCGTTTTTTCCTTAGTGGTGTAAGGATAGCCAGACACAACATAGACATGAGCATCGCCACCTTGGAACTTACTTAGCGAATAAATCAACAGCCAAACCTCTTTCCAAAGGTATTGGACCCCGCGGTACGTTTTTATCAATTCTGTACATAAGCTTCGTTCTGACTTTTGTTGCGTCCCGCAATCAATTTACTCCCTGTGGTCTTCTTATCTCCCGCTCCCACCAGCGGTAATGGGCCGGTGGGCCTGCTATTGAGAGATGGCAAGTTATCTAGAGCTGCTGAGGTTTAGAAATGATTGACAGATAACTTGGGAGTACCAGTGTTTCTGTTCGTTCTAACCTTTTAGACGTAATCCGACCCCAACACGTTTGCAAAGACTTAAATGAAGATTGTAATGGTGGCATAATCCCGGCATTTTTCAACACCAGCTTTGCAAGTTGAGATACAAAGATGAGAGTCTGGCATCACGTATATGTTGTGTTGACAAGATACAACCTTAAGCTTAAGGTCCATGCCCGCAGCTAGGCAATGATATCATCGCACCAGTCAGGAAACATCTTCGTACGGATATCGATTCCATTTTCTCCCCCAAGACTTGGCAGTTCTAGTAATGTCGTTGAACACGGGGGCTACATCTCCCGGCTCCCTGTCTTTTCAATTTTCGCGTCTTACGAAAATCAGAAATCGAAAACGACGTTCCTTCCAAACAGTTCAGGCGAACAGAGACCAACAGATGGTTGTTAGATTCACAGAGGAGGACCGCCTTGTTTTAGCGTCAGCCTAGCCATCTCGTATCCCCAGGGCTCGTCTTTGGTATCATGGCTTAGCTCAAAGCTATCCCATCCTTCTCAGCACTTCGCAGTGCCACACCGTTTCCCCTGAATACAAAGAGAGTATTGTACGTCATCCCTTTTCTCTATCTACAAAATGATGTAGTGCTGGAGGTGGAATACGGCTGTACTCTAGGCAGCCGTATTCGCGCTTGTGATGGCAATGATATCCTCACAATCCGACTCTTAGGCACCACGACTTGGAATAATCCTATTGAAGACGACGAAGGCTCTAGAAAATGTATATCACGGTATTACGCCGAGACTTCGCAATTCTCGTAATCCAATTTCAATGTATTCAGTCACGTTCTTTATTTTTTTATATGATTATTACGGGAGGATGATGAATAATTTACGGGCACTATGATCATGTCTGCCCAATTGAAACCCTGCTCGAGGCAGTGTTAATAACCCCTTAAATGATTGGCTGCCAGGCTAGGTTGACAGGACTTTGTTGAAAAGGCCCGCGGTATATCCCTCTTTTTGTCAGCACAGAAAATGGCATATTCCATTATGACTATCCCCTTGGCAACATTTCATCTAATAATGTATTGATACTGATAGTGTTGATAAAAGGTGTAGTGTTAACTTTGTTCCCGTCAAGCCAACAACGGTACTGACAAAAGGCCTGCGGGCGGAAGATGGATGAGAGTGTGCGTGCGAGCTTTTGTGTCAGGTGTAATGTTCCCACCATCCACCACAGGAGATGGGCCCGCAACACAACAGGTGCATGACAGAGATCTCCCCAACAATTACGTCACTGTTTTTCCGCCTCCTGCACATTCCCCGTCCCTGTATGCCGCTGAGAACCTTTTCGCCCCACAGGTGGTAAGTGCTTACATTTTCCTTTAACGGCTTTTTACTCCGTACTGCAGTGCCATAATTCTGTTAGTACTGGGCTGCATTTCTCAGATACCGTGTTTGGTGAACTCACTGCTGTGTAGCGGAGAGAGGGTGGTTTTTGACCGGCCGTTTTATTTACAGTTGTACGGTGTACGTGCACCACACGACGCGTTCCGGCGGCCTGCTCACCTGTTCAGCCCACTGAGCATGAGATAGTGGATCCACGGCGACGCCCCGTGCCCCAAACAAGAAAGACTGGTTATGTTCCACAGCTCACACAGACCCTTAGGGCTGTGCAGGTGAGAGTTAGGTGCTGCTGTGTTGCACACAGCTAGCTCGCTTCAAAACACCAGCCGATAGACGGACTAAACATGAGGGACACACGGATCTTCGGTGCGACCTTTGGGGCTGTTGTTTTTGTTGTGTTCGTGGAGTTGGCAGCGGGACAAGGTAACCTGACAGCGGCCCCCACGGGAGGGCTGGCGGGGACCGTCACAACTCTGCAGCCCGGCAGCCAGGGGAACGTGTCCGCCATGTCTACAGCAGGCCTGGCCTCCAATAATGTGTCCACAAAGGCAACCACCAAATCTCCAACATCGCCCAGTAACGCTACAGGTAAGTCTACATACCTGGTTCTCACGCAATTAACAAAGCGTTCGCCCTTTCACCGTTCAATCTATCCTCTATTTGTGTTTCTGAATCATAACTTGCCCGAAGGCACTAATGGACATTATAGTGCAACACAACGTAATTCAACAAAACTATGCGAATCTTTATTTCGGAGTAATCCATTCTTTGGGCTGACCCGTTAATGCCATTGGTTGCAGGCTATGCAACGAAAAGCAAACAAAACGGTTGCACACCTCCATCTTGGGTAAAACGAGGTTGTTTGAGGACATCTCAGTGTACAGGACTGATATTGCCTCGTTCCGCTAGATCATATCTTACAGATACAATACATGGCTAGTAAATTCCATGAGCTTAAGGTGCAAAACTAGTTACAGTGACATGTTACTTGCTTGGTAGCATGGTAAGAATTACATGGGAATTCAGAAACTTCTTGTAACCTTTGGCACGAAGTAAGTAGGGAGGTCTCCCTAGCTTGAAACTAAACTCCTTGGTACCAAAATGCTGGTTTCAAGAAGAACTGTGCAAGACGATGGTCGTCCAGGTTGGTTTTCTTGTACTATTGGCAGTTGAGTGGAAAAGACCTGGATCCCCAGTGTCAGTATCACTCTTTACTATCGTGTGGTGATAGGTTTCTGGTAATTTCACTTTGCCGCCTTTCTGGATCCCTATCTTTTACACATAATAAGGCGGCTGTGCGTACTCATATAGCGTAACAACAATCAGTCTTGAGCACACATCACAAGGGTACGTTTTTCCTCGCCATCGTACTAATTGCAAACAAGCCTGCATTTCAGTTCTTACAGCACTTTACAACGACCTAGTGACAGATTAGGTTGTCAAAAATGCATAAATCAAGACCTTTGGTAAATACCAGGCCTATCGTAAGGTCTGATCACGTCAGTTTTTCATTTGTCTGAACTGACAACAGCCGCTAACGTTTACAAGTTTGTAATGAACACGCGTAAGCCTATCACGTCAGACTGGAGTACGTCTGATGAATTGGTCTGGCATGATCATTACCTATAGGCGGCTGATATCCATGGTCTACTGAACAAGAAGGTGACGTTGACCTTGGCCTTGATATTTGCAGGAGCAAGGACTTCATGTCAGGAGTAAAAACTTTAAGCCTCCAGTTTCAGGTCAGAATGGATGGAAAAGATAATAATCACAGACAAAGTTTGCTACTAGTATCTATGGCCATAATGATCACGTTGTGGCCAGGAATTAGCCTCTACCAGGCTGGAAAGAGTAGCCAAATAGAGAGAGATAACATGCCAGGGGAGTTGGTCCAATGGCGAGTACAGCCGCACCCAAACTGTCTCCATTTGGCCGATTTCTACTCTTTCCAGCCGCCTCCGAAGCCTGGTAGATGCTGGCGTGGTAAAAATTCCCAGAGGTACGAGTATAAAGTGTATTTCTGAGAATGAGAAATTACCTTCAGGCTATCCGCGGAGTCTTATATGCGACGGTAACAATCATAAACCCTGTGCCACCGAGGCACTATAAATTAAATCAGCCTGCAAGTCGCAATAAACTATGACAGCCTGACGTGACTTGACGCTGACGTCTAGACGTCGCCAACGCACAGCGAGTGCGTCACCCAGTCCCGGTAAATTCGCGTCGCCCAGTTCAAAATTCCTCCAATTCTGTTTTCCAAGTGTGAAATCAACAATTTCCAAATGTCTTAAAATATTCAAGTAGACTTTTTTCTTTTAGGTAATGATATATATTACACGTAAATGTTTTTATTCGTACGTCCTTCACTGTTTCAAGTACTTTTAAACATCTATTTCATGTTCACACCGTGATACTTTTACGATCCTTCTCGAGCTGTCCGTTGAATTCCCCTTGGAGGAATGATAAATTACACAGCCATTCACACTTCTAGCGCGCACATCTTAAGGTATTAGATGGCGCGACCCTCAGATTTACAAGTAACGCTCCGTAGGCGGAGTCAGTCATGCGTAAAAGTCAGTGTCAAGACCAGGAGCTTTCAGTGTACATCAAAGATAATCACAGCGTGCATTCGACCTTTACGAAGGTACCTGCTGGTAAGTGGGATCATAAGTAGAAAAGTGGCAGGATTGGAGTTCCCTTGATCGTTTGATGTATTGAAAACCGAGAGTTGTGTGAGAGTAACTAGTACGTTCACGTAGGGACGGTCACAGAACGAAGGAACATGTGGGTGTATGGATGCGTAGGAGGGAGGTTCAGGGTGCTGTAACTTTTCATAAATGTGTTTCGTCTGTCAAACTGTCTTTTATAGTCTCTTCACTCTGCAAGTGTTTTCCCATTTCCACACAATCCTGCTATTCCTGATGGTCCGTAACTTACATCAAAGCATGCACATGGATATGTACACAGTGTTACTCACTTTGCTAAGAAAATGTATGACCTATATATACAGACTCCCTCACAGGAGTCCTAAAATCTGCCACCAGCGGACCTTCTGTAATCCAGTCGTGACGCATGTTTAAAAGAAGGGGAACTGTCACTGACAGTTTGACACAGGCTGGCATTAGTACGACGGTCCAGCCTCCAGACTGCGCGTAGACATTACTACGTGAATGATGTACGTGTAATGCTGCAGTAATCCTAGTGCGACGGGGGAGTCATTAAACTCGGACACCCTTCGGGAAAACTTAATGGCATGTAGACGGGAACGGTATCGCGGCTGCATTTCGTTCCCACGAGGGACTGTCGTCGTTGATATAATCACCAGCTCCAGTCGCTACATCACGACTTGTTACCGCTGATGTAGCCGACAGGGCCATCGCCGGGTCCCGCGTGAAAGACATCCGTAATTCCCGCCTCCTGAGCTACGGTCCTCACCAGCCATTACTAAGGCCCAAGTAAGATTCCATCTGCCACAATCCTGTATCTTATTCATCCATCATACCCGGCCGGGATTGGACATGGCGGGAATGTGCAGAAATGTTTAATCTCTTGATTCTCAAGGTGGAACGCGAGGAGACTCCCACAGGGCGAATTTAAAGTTTGCATGTCTTCAACATCATCATCATCATCGCCGTGTTTTTTTAGGAGGAACAATCCATACACTGGGGCGATGACATAAATAATGGACGATGAAGTTCTTCAGAAAATGTCAATTTCTGAGTTAGCACGAACGTTCATCTGTGTTGGTACAAGCCATTATGAAGTAATTGGTCCCAATTAATTCCAGTGTTTGGGATTAAGTTTAGTCTTTGCTTAAGAATTTCTGAGTTGTTGTAATCGCCCTTGTCATAGAACACATGGGTATCCTGGTGTTAGCGTAAATCCTCAGACTCTGATTACAGCTACTGTAGCAGTGGGCTTGAAGATACATACTTGCTGTGACCTACACTTCAAACAAAGTCAGAGATGATGACACAGGACTAGAAACTGTTGATTTCTAAGGTGTCCTTGTGGATGTCATAGCGGCAGGAGACTGAAAGTACCGTCTGATGTTGTGTCTATCAGTCATGTGATTACTAGTTCATTGAATGATGGCTAGTAGTGGGGGTGAAGATAAATAGTTGCTGTGACCTTCGCGTCAAACAAAATCAGACAGGTGTCAGAGATGATGACACACAGACTAGAAACTGTTGATTTGTGAAGTGCCCGTGTGAAAGTCACAGCAGCAGGAGGCTGGAAGGTACCGTCTGATGCTGTGTCAATCAGTCATGTGATTACTATAGTGCATTGACTGATGGCTAGTAGTGAGCATGAAGATACATAGGTGCTGTTGTAAGGATCTAATATGCTGAACCATAGAGTTCCCCCTATGGGAATGGTATAACCTGCCACCCCCGGTGGCGAGTAGGCAAGTCCACTAGGAACCAGTTATATCCAGTTGAGTTAGAGTTACCCACATGTTCTGAAGAATACATACAGATCCACAGTACTCCACTCGTCTCTTCTGCTCATTCCATAAACCCTGGGATTGGATCGTTACACTGGTGGCAGCGGTGTTCGGACTCTTCGCCGTCCCTAACCACCGGACTTTATTCGTCAACAACCGGTGGATCGCTGCGTTCGCCGCCCCGGCGGTACTCGCCCCCCTCCCCCTCTGGCCCATGTGCATCTACCTTCAACTTCCCGGACCGCTCCGCTATCTTTTCTGTCAAGGTAGGCTTTAGGCTCGCACTGAACTGTTGAGAATTTGGAACTGCCCGTCACTATATGGCTACCGCTAGTGATTCTGTTGTCGTTATCGACGAGGACATTTCATTTAACTACAACCCTGTGGCTCGCACCCCCTCGAACGTAATGGCGTCGCCCACACAGACGGGTCTCCCACCGAGGTTTCCCAGTCCAGCTTCATTCCCTCCAGCTGTACCGTCGCAACCACCACCTCCCGGTACGTCTGTTACACCTACCATATACACATCTCAGGCCACAGCCCACCCTTCACTCCAGCCTGGGGCTAACACTCACCCTCCCAGGCCGTATCGCAAATCGACCGTCAACC